CCGTCCCCCTATTCCCAAGTCACCTTCGGGGTTTACCCCGCAATGCCACAACTTCCCCCCAACTACCTCCTTGACGACAACATCCAATTCGATTACACCTACTACGACACTACCCCCGATAACCTCAACTTCAACACCCTCGCCCGGATCGTTTCCCGCGAAGGGCAAATCCCCCGTTCCTTCCGATCCGCCGACATCATGCCCTTCTCCCGCCTTCCCCACGAGGACGTTTTCCTCTTCCTTATCCAGCTCGAAAACTCTTTCAAGCTCCACCACATGCCCCTTGTCCATTGGCTTCCCATTGCCACCTCCCGCCTCCTCGACAATGCCGCCAAACGGTGGATGGCCGAAGTCAGCAACCGCCGCGCCTCCGGAGGACCGTGTCACTCCTTCCTCCAATGGGCCAACCTTCTCACTGCCACCTTCCGCCCCCAGAAAACCATCGATGACTACCTCGAACAATTTTGTCACCTCCGCCAGACCGGTCCCACGGACCGCTTCGTCCAATACATTCGCTCCCTCCGCCATCACCTCCCCACCACCGTCATTCCCGACTCTGCGTTCATCTCCCGCATCAAGCGAGTATGCCACAAAGATCTCACATCCGCCCTCGCCCACGAACCCGACATGCCTCTTGCTGACCTCCTCTCTCGCATGCTTCACCACGATTGACTCCTCCACCCCCATCACCCGTCCACGCCCGCTCCTTTCCGCCCCTGCTTCTTCCATAACATAACCCCTGACGACGCCACTCCACCCACCTTCGATGACGACTTCGACACTGCCTCTCTCGACCCCTCTCAATTCACCATTGAGGACCTCCAGGCCGCCCACCTTATGCGGATGGAACACCAGGATCGTGCCTCCCGACCGCCTTCTTCCTCTCCACCCCGCCGTCTCCACAAACTTACACCCGCAGAACGCATATACCTCCAGGAACACAACAGGTGTTTTCGCTGCCGCCAGTTAGGTCACCAGCAGACCAACTGCCCCAACGCTAGCCGCTTTACTCGACAGGCCCCTCGCTCCGCGGGACCCGGCCCTTCTACTCCCACTTCTTCCTCCACCGCGACAGTCGGGCCCTCCTCCACCTGAACACTGTCCCCCTGTCCCTTGCAATCCTCCCCCGACATTGATCACTTGTCTGTCGACTCTCCCATCGGTGACGATCTCTCTTCCACCAGTGGCCCACTTGGCATCGACTATCCGTCTGCCTACCCCCCCTCCGGCGACGCACATCCCATCAGACGACCCTCAGGTAACGCAGTTTACTCCGCCTGCCCCCTTCCCGACGACATCTGCTATCCCGTCGGCTGAGCTTCCCACTGGCACCTGCTCTTCTACTCTCATCCCTAACCCCTTCTCTACCACCTTCTCCGATCTTGTTGAGGAACAAGCACGACACGATCGGCTTCTTAGATTAGGCTTGGAACAACGCCGCCTCAACACCATGATCTCGTCTGCTTGTGTCGGAACCGCACAGTTCCAGCTCAAGTTTATCGCCGTCTCCCTTGGCGCATCGACGGTGAAGTTCCAGGCCCTCCTTGATAGTGGTGCCACCGACAACTTCATCACCGAAGCCTGTATCGCAAAGTCGGCCTCTCTTCCCCTGGCTATGACTCCCCGATCACCATCCGACTAGGGGAAAAGGACTCAGCCATCATTGTCGATCGCACTGTCCCCGAGACCCTCATGATTGTCAGTCCTCTTCGCAGTCAGGTCTCCTTCGATGTCATGCACCTCATGTGCAACATCGTCTTGGGGACTCCATGGCTTGACCGTTTCATGCCCTACTCCTTCCACCCCTCTTTCGTCCGACTCACCCGCCCTCCTGACTCTCCTCTTGATATCCCTTACCTTCTCCCCCCTTTTACCCCACCCCCTGTCTCCCCTCACCAGTTCCTTCACATATCTCGTGAACACCCCGACTCCGCTTACTATTGTCTTGTTATCGACCACAAGCGTCCCGAGGACTTGCTTCCAACGGACAAACCCGACCAAGACCCCCTTTCCTATCCTCACATCACAGCTCTCCTCTCTGAATTCAAGGACGTCTTCCCCAAGTCCTTGCCCGCCGATTTACCTCCCGATCGAGGTGTATCCCACACCATTGATCTCGAGCCCGACCATTCTCCTCCTTGCCGCACGCCGTACCAACTCTCCGTCCCCGAGGCCGAAGAAATGAAGCGCCAGCTCAATGAACTCCTTGAAAAAGGATTCATTAAGCCTAGCTCCTCCCCCTTCGGAACCAGTTGTCTCTTCGTCAAGAAGAACGACACCTCAGAACTCCGCATGTGCACAGACTACCGTGCCTTGAACCGGATCACGATCAAGAACAAGTACCCACTCCCCCGGATATCTGAACTTCTTGATCGCCTCCAAGGAGCCAAATATTTCACCAAGATCGACCTCCGCAGTGGCTTCCACCAAATCCGTGTCCGCGAGGAGGATACCCACAAGACCACATTCCGCTCTCGGTCCGGGCACTACGAGCTCCTCGTAATGCCTTTCGGACTCACCAATGCCCCCGCCACATTCCAGTCCACCATGAACCACATCTGTCGTAACCTCCTCGACGTCTGTGTCGTCTTGTACCTTGATGACATCCTCATCTTTAGCCCCACCTTTGAGTCCCACCTTCAGCACATTCGCCAAGTCCTCTCGATCCTCCGAGAGCAAAAATTACACGCCAAGCTTAACAAATGTACGTTTGCCGCTTCGAGCGTCGAATACCTTGGCCACATTGTCTCCGCTGAAGGCATCCATATGGACCCCTCGAAGGTCACAGCCCTCGTCGAGTACCCCCCGCTCAAGACCCTCCTTCAACTCCGTTCCTTCCTCGACCTTGCCAACTATTACCGCCCGTTCATTCTCAACTTTTCCAAGATCTCTTACCCTCTTCACGGACTCACACGCAAGGACGAGCCCTTCAATTGGAACGATGGCCGCCAACACACTTTCGACTTCCTCAAGCAACCAATCACCACGGCCCCTGTCCTCAAGATCGCCGACCCCACTCACCATTTCTATGTCACCACTGATGCCTCCGACTTCGCCATTGGAGCCGTACTGTCCCAACATTTCCCCCGCGATACCGCCGAGACCCCCTCCATCAAGGACTCGCCCACTCACCCCGAGGCTCCACCCGAAGAATACCCCATCGCCTTCGCAAGCAAGAAGCTCCTTCCTGCGGAAATGAATTACCCCTACAATGAGAAGGAACTCCTCGTCGTGATTCAAGCCCTCACAGTCTGGCGCCCGTACCCGACGGGCAATACTTCACCATCCACACTGACAACACCATCGTTTCTTCCATCCTCACCAAGAAAGACATCACCCCACGCCAAGCTCGATGGCTCGACTTCCTTGCCCAGTTCACATTCACCATTTGCCACACCCCGGCAAAAGCAACCGCGTCGCCAACACCCTCTCTTGCCACCCCGACCACAAGCCTCCCGAGAAGGTCTACGCCGCCATGACTCATATTCAACCCCTCCCATCACTCCATCGCCGTTACACCCAAGGCTACCTCTCTTGCTTAGACTTCGCCTCTATCTACAACAAACTTCGCAACCTCGACTCGGTCCCTGACTACTCCCTCCACGACAACCTCCTCTACATCGACACCAAAGGCACTCGCCGACTTTGCATCCCTGACACACGTAGTCTCCGTATCCAGCTCTTGGTAGAGCACCATGACGCCAAGACCGCAGGTCACCTCGGTTTCCAGAAAACCTTCGACACCATCTCCCACTACTTTTATTGGCCTTCTCTACTCGCCGACATCAAAACATACATTCGCTCATGTCCCACGTGTCAGGCTGTCAATCCCTCGAACCGGGCCAAACCTGACAAGCTCCAATCATTGCCCATCCCCACTCACCGGTGGCAGTCCATTTCCATGGACTTCGTGTGCGGTCTCCCTACGACCGACCACGGGCACGATTGCATCTACGTCTTTGTCTGCTACCTGACCAAACGCGCCCACTTCATTCCTTGCACCACCTCCCACACCGCCAAAGACACCGCCTTACTCTTCTTTGACCATGTTGCACGCCACCACGGCCTCCCCGAGAATATCATCAGCGACCGCAATCCCCGTTTCCTCTCACAGTTATGGAGAAAACTCTTCAACGCCTACGGAACTACACTCAAGTATAACACTGCATTCCACCCACAGACCGATGGACAAACCGAGAAGATGAACGATACTCTCCAAAGAATCCTACGCAAGTACTGTCATCCACATCAACACGACTGAGATCAGTTGCTCACCGCCGCCGAGATCACCTGTCCTTCCACTGGCATGTCGCCATTCTACCTTGACCTTGGCTACCATCCGCACCTGCCCTCTGATTTCCTACTTCATCGCAACTCAACCCCTCCACACCCTTCCCTTCCCTAATGAATGGGTAGGAACAATGAATCGAATCCTCATGCAATTCAAAGTAGGGGACAAAGCCTAGCTCTCCGCCAAACGCTTTGAACCCGAACATGGATTGTCAAAGAAACTCTCGAACAAATGGCTCGGACCCTTCCCCATCATTGAAAAAATCTCCGTCGTCAACTACAAACTCCAACTCCCCCCCGACATGAGTCGCATCCACCCGGTCTTCCACGTCGAATACTTGAAAGAATATAATGAATCCCCACCCCAATTCGCTGACCGCCCATATCCTAGACCTCCACCTATCATGTTACCCACAAGCCCTGAATTCGTTGTTGACGCAATCATAGGTCGACGAACTACTCAGGTATCTGACCACCCGGAACCAATCACTGAATACAAAGTCAAATGGACCGGATACCCCGACGAAGAATCTACATGGGAACCTCTCTCGAATCTCAAGAATGCCATGAAACTTGTCCGCGCCTATGATCGTGCTACTCCTATGTCCTAGACACCCACGTAACTACAACCCTAAACCCATGTATAAACCTTGCTACAACCTTGCAACCCCGTTCTACACACACCCTTGAACTCAGTCCGCCCTCCCCTCGACCCCGATTCCTTGTCATCTCGCTACTGCTAATTTTCCTTGCACATATATGACCACAAACAGGAGGCACATGAAATTAAGAAAAAGGAAAGGCGTTCTCTCTCTCTCTCTCACTCACTCGCACACGGGCGCACACACACACAGTGTTCAATGGTTATTGTGCTTGATGGCAGGTGGGCGGTTGGCTGCAGTCGTGCCATGATGGTTGGGTTGCTGGAATGTTGGGCGGGATGGAAACCACACTTACTATCATGATGTCAGAAATGCGCCGATTCCAAGAATCACCCATTTGAAATCCAAACATCTTCAAGTACTTCGTGGGCTGCCGTCAACAGTTGCATTGTCAATTAGTAGGCAGATTGTAGTTGTGTAGGAAGTAGGCTGGGCGCCAAGCGCCAAGTAGGGAGAAGGTCCTGGACTCTTGTGTTGGTGGTGGCGAGAGCAAGCTCTCATCGACGTTGGTTTTCAGTGTTACAATTCTCCATTGGTGTCATATTGGTGCAACGCTGCTTTCCGGACACTGTGATACTTTCTGGCTTTCAATGTGATTGTGTATTCTAGATATTGTCATCTCGCTACTGCTAATTTTCCTTGCACATATATGACCACAAACAGGAGGCACATGAAATTAAAAAAAAGGAAAGGCGTTCTCTCTCTCTCTCCCTCACTCACTCGCACAGGGGCGCACACACACACACAGTGTTCATTGGTTATTGTGCTTGATGGCAGGTGGGCGGTTGGCTGCAGTCATGCCATGATGGTTGGGTTGCTGGAATGTTGGGCGGGATGGAAACCACACTTACTATCATGATGTGAGAAATGCGCCGATTTCAAGAATCACCCATTTGAAATCCAAACGGTGGTCTCTCCCACTGTTTCAGTTTATGTAGATGGCCAAGGTGTGTTTTCGATTTACACCCCGGCCGAAGTTGCACCTAGCTTACTTCCCAGGACTGGGAAAGGCCCAGTGGTCATCAACTGGATGTAAATGGGCTGCACGGGACTATTTGTGGTTTATGTTTGAGGTAGTTAGCAGACCTCCGATCCTTCACACAGCCTCCCTTTCCTCAAACTACCTCCTTTGTCCTCTCCCATGCTTCAGATACCCCAAGTTCACTGCTTGGGACCTCCAGGCCATGGAGAACTTCCATCTAGGCCTAGAGATGGAGCTCAGCCCTCGAGGAGGGTTGTGGAGCTCTCCAACAGCCTTGTCCCTTCTCCTATGTTGTCCAAGGTAAGGTGAAGCCTCCCCACCACCTCACTACTTCTCCATGCCTCCCACTATGCTCCCACAACCAAAAGGCCCTCTTCCTCTCCCCCAAGTATGATGCTTCCCCCCCTGCACTTCAAATCAAGTCTAGTGCTCAATGGGCAGCATGAGGGCCGACATATGCATGTAAGAGGTAAAAGTGCTTGCCCGCCCAGCTTCCATCGCCTTTATAGGCTGGAGGTTGGCTTGGAGCTGCCTCTAGATGCCCAAAAGCCAGTTATAGGATGTTCGAGGTAAGCTCCAAGTGGCAAGTTAGCCTCTTCGCCATACTGGGTGCAGAACTAGTCTCTCCCAAGGCCAGGTTCATGTAGCCTGGTTTGTGGAAGGTACTTCGCACTACGACTGCCTCAAAAGAGTTTTCTTTTTGAGGTAGGATCCTCACTTGATCCCAATGGTCAAGGGGCCAGATTTAGGCCATATTTTCCATTCGGGACTATTCTCCCACAATCCGCGGCAGAGACAGGGCTGGTAACTGGTCTCAACCAGCTTCAGTGCACAAAAAAAAGACTCGCATGTCACGGGAGCTGCCATTCTCAATTTAGCAATCCCTACATGACCGACAACTCACCTACCGCTTCTACTTCTTATTTTGTCTCTCTTGACCCCAGATCTCTCCCTTTTTCGCTCCTCTCTCGTCTCCTCTACTCACAGTACTCGACTTATTATGAACATTTGATTTTTCACCTACTCTCCCGGACCCTAGATTTGAGATATCTAGTAGTCTGAGGTATCTTGGATCACATTCATCACGTCCCCTTATCATTCCAACCCCATTTTCTAGCCCCTAAGTCCCTACCAATAATTTAGTTGCTCTAGGCTGTCCATTTCACTTTGATTTGTCTTATGTCCTAGATCTGCCCTCCTATACTCTCTCTCTCTCTCTATATATATATATATATATACAGTTTGTCACAGCCCCTCGTTTGTTGTCCTCTTCTCCCTCTATGCCTATGGTTTACCGGGCAGTTCTATTTGACGATATATATATATATATATATATATATATATATATATATATATATATATAATTGTGACGATATATATATATATATCGTCACAAACAGAACTGCCCGGTTAACCAGACTCGTCTTCTTCCATACTCAGCATGCATGGAAACAGATGGCAATCACATCGGCACCGGGCACCTACACAAAACTCAGAGATATCGACGTCAAAAACACAGTTCAGATTCAAACTTGCTTCGAATGGCTATGGCGCCTGTGCGCCCTCACAACACCCTTGCAACACTATATCCTCAGAGCTGTTCACACACACGCTACTCTGGATCTCCCTGGATGTCCCACACACGCACACACTTCACTGAACACTCAAACGCATACATGTTATTGCCTATCTCTAACCTACAGCAACTATGGCTGCTTTCTACTCCCAGCTACTAACCAGCGGCTATGGCCACTTCGTCTCCTTCAAAGCCCACTTCTCCCTCGAGCACCTGCAGACCTCCTTGCACAAGTCGCTCAGGCAGTGCTTCAGCACGGCTCACAGGCTGAATGAATGAATGGCTGGACGCTGCCTCTTGATTTATCCTTTGGTTGGTCACTGGTCTGCTCCTTTCCACCGGGCCCAGGGTGCACACAGTCCCACATGGTACTTGCTGACTGGACAAAGAGCAACGGGGACTGGGTACCGCTGACTAGGTGAGGTTGGACTGCCCACTTGCCCACTGGCCTCTGGCCTCTCTTTAACAATTCTCGAAAGGCCACGTCCGGACCTCTGTAGACTTGGCTTTTCGGGAATGTAGCAGCTACGACCTTGACCTTTCAGGACTGTAGCAGCTACGACTTCTATACAGCTATGACCCCTACTCGACAGACCTACGGATCGAGACCTGACGACCACAGTAACCTACCACAGGCAACAGGCGACTGTTAAG